AATACCTGTATAGTACTTTAACCCCATATATTTTACATCAAAGCGTGTAATTAGTTACGCCGTTTTTCGTGCGGAAAATCTGACAGCGAAAAACGAGTACTTAACTGGTCCGTGGGCCATGAGGTTTACTTCAAAGTAAGAAATTATCCAAAAATATCATCAGGATTAGGGAAACAAAGAAAAAATTACCAAGCAAAATTATTGGTTAAGAAATCTACGATAGGTGTTATGTAAATTACTGAAGTCTAGACACGTCCTGTTTTAAACACGTCGAATTCTAAAAGCGTCGCAAATCAACAAGACAATGGGCAAAGCACCACGCCCACAATTAACGTTTGATACGTGTTATTTAGTGGTTTGTTGTGAGGAAATGTCTGAACTGACCCGATAAACTTACAAACGGGACCCCTCTTGTAAAACAAAACTAACGGGCTTGAACACAATAGGACGGGCGCGGCGACGAGATATTTTACAATATGAAACTTAAATTAGTACGTTCACACCTGGCTCGAGTTGAGACGATTTTAGAAAGGTTCCACTTATTGTTAGTACCATACAAAATTATTGAACTCTGTAAAATATAGGAGTGGGACCTCAGAAATTATTACAAATATATTTCCTAAATCTAATTATTCATTCTTTATCGTTTCAGCCACAACTGACATTCGGGTTTAGTCGTGACAAAAACTTTCAGTTGTCAATGTCAACTTTAATTTTATTATTATATTCGTAATCTTCATAAAATAACCTTTAAAGTGAGTCCAAACTTGACGCATTTATCTCAAAAAAACAAAAAAATCGAACTTTCAACTTTTAATTTTGACATATTTGTCAACTTCATAAAAAATCCTTTAAAATGAGTCCAAACTCGACATATTTAATATTAATATTAATGGAATACAATCACTTCCGGTTTGAAACGTCAACGTCAATTTTAACATATTTGTCATCTTCATTAAAAAACCTTTAAAATGAGTCCAAAGATGACGCACTTATCTCAAAAAACAAAAAGTTAGAATAAAAAACATTAAAACCTAAGTTAGCAACAATGAAGATAACAATTTAATTTTTAAATATTAATACCAACCTTAATTTTTTATTTTTTTTATTATATTTTTGTTTCACGATGATTACAAATATGTCAAAATTGACGTTGACATTCTTAACCGGAAGTTGACCATAACTTCATTAATATTGAAGGTAAATATGTCGTGTTTGTACTCATTTTAAAGGATTTTTAATGAAGATTACAAATATGCCAAAATTGAGGTTGACATTTTAAACCTGAAGTTAATTTAGTGTTAGTCACTTTTCCGCACTTTCTTTTTATTTTAACATACTTTTTGGGTCATTTCACATTGATTAAAAAAAATCGTCGATTTTTCAATAGTTTGAGCCTCTCTATTCTAAAAAGTCCTATATTTTCAAAGAGATGAAAACGAAAATCCCGTTTTTCTCAACATTATTCATTTGTCGCTTAATCAAGTGATGCATAACGTAGTCCAATTATGATTGTTTGTAAGCAGAAAAGATATTGTCGATTTGAATGGCTTAAACGTTTGAATCGAGAGGAAGTATAGAGTAAAAAAAAAACGTAGAAAATAAATTTTTATATTACTTGTTTACTTACTTTTAGTATTAAAATAGTAGTTACGATAATATAATTGCTGGTAGTTCATGATATTTTTGTATCTTTAATCTTTGTAGAGAAAGTAAAAAGTTATGATTTTATTAACTTCATTACGGTATAAATCTTATTCAACGGATTTCCTCATTCAATAAAAGAACAAATTTAAATAGAACTGCCCCTTTAATACCTGAAGTTGTAAATTCATCCTACCCCAAAGAAGAAAGTCGCCCTCCTTGAATTTTAAATAATAATTGAAAGTCCGCGACGTTTTTCAATTTCGTTATACGAGCGAAAATGAAACTTTTTTTTCCTTTAAACGAAGGAATAAATTCGTTCTTCGTTACCTCGACGAGAAGGGAACTGCGAACATAATTCGATTTATACCCGAAAATTTTACTCGTCGTTGTGGAAGTGCGTGATACAGAAGAACCTGGCGTTAAGCGCGGCAACGACGAAACGAAAGCTTCGTAAATAGAAACAAAGGAATTTCAAGGGGGTGGCGAAATTAAATAACACGATTATTTTCTACGAACGACTTTTTTATGGGTGGAAAAACGGGGTTTTTCGACTGTAATCGGTTTTTCCCCTTTTTCTTTTACTATTAAGAAACACGAAATACAAAAATAATCAAAAAAAATGTTATACTCTTTTACTCCACTAAAAACTTTTTAAAAACGTTTTTGTATGTTAAAAATTAATGTAATTAGGAGTTACAATTTAGTTTGCTTTTTAAAGCCCTTTCATTCCATAATCTTATAAATTAATGTATGGGTTACTAAAAGTTCTATTAATTTTATTAAAGTTTCCTATTTGGCAGGTATTCAACTCTAATTTAGAAATAACTAGAATTGAAACTTTGCCAAATTTATAAACGTAATTATTTACTTTATAACAAAGATGTTAAACGGCTTCCAAACAACTGGCACGAAAATAGAAATGGGATAGTAGAAAAAGAAAACACCGCGTCATCTTTTACGATTCGTAGTAGCATAGGCCTATCCAATATAATCAAAGGTTACGGCTCAGTACGTATAAGCCTCTATAGTAAGGAAAACTGATTTTTGCTTCCGCCATCTCCATTTTTCCTACTTTATGGAGATCCCAACCGTTTTCCTGCGACAAGAAAAAAAAGATCCTCTTTCGGTTGAGATACATTTTTACGTCTCATATATTCAACCCACAATCTTTTCCATAAACTCTACATTTATATTTGGATTTTCAAGTATTACATCCTATTCTATTTGTAATATTATAAAAAAGTTTATATAAAAACTAAAAAGAAAAAGGATTTTAGTTTTCTTTTTTTCTAGGTTTCACTTCGATTTTCAGAATCAAATTCTTTACAACTGAAAATATATATTCTTTCGTAATTGAAACTGTGCTCATAGTATAGAAATAGTGTGGATTTTTGATCCGTCATTGTTCAAGGGGATAAACTTCAAATATGGCTTCAAGTCTCAAATAGAAAAGCTCTGACGGCTTGACCAAGCGAGATAGGGCACTGTTCGGTTCGGATTATTTTGATACAAATCGACTTAACCGGCTCCCAAAATAATATCCTTCCTGTTCACTGAACCAAGTGATTAGTATTATAAGGGACCGAGACATTTGATACGGGCCGCGGGGAATTCCTATTAAAACTCGAATAAAAATGGGGTGAAGTCGCCTTTCTACGTGACTTTAGTACTGAAGAATCGTGAAAAAAGGAAACCTTTTTTGATTTATTCCTTTTTCCTCCAATATTCTACTATTCTATTTTTTATTTTTATAACGTAATTTATTAAAAGATTTTCTTAGTTTGAAAAATCGCGCAGTAACTTTTAACGTTTGCTGACTAATCGCCGAGAGAAAGAGTGAGAACAAAAGATCTTGAGACCCAAGTTTAATTTATCCGGTCGCAGCAAATCGTAGAAAGAAGAAGAAGAGTGCAATTCCGCTGTTTGTGTGCTTTCCAGCGAAATTGGCGTGCGAAAAGGGTCGCAACGGAACTCGAACAATCGCATTTTGCGAATAACTCGACTCGCTGCAGTAATTAATCGCTCGTCCAGATATAATCTTATAAATAGATTCGTTCGGACGAACTCAAATAAACCTTCGGACCCCGTCTAAATGGACGACCGACGACAACGACGTCGCGACGCCTCGCGAGACGCGCCCCGTTCCGTTTCTAATTTAGATTAATGAAATCGCAGCCGTTCGCCTGTATCCTTCGTTACTCGTAATTGTTTCGAAATTTCGTAGCTATTTTCACTCACTAGTTTCACTCACCAATTGTCCCTCCCATTTGAATTCCTTTATTTCACTCATTTTCAACAGACCATAACGTATCTATTTAAATCCTTTTCTTTACAAAAATAACAAAAATAAAATAAAATAAAATAAAGAAAAAAGATATCGTATCTTAAAACATTTTATTCGTTGATGTCGTACATATCCAGTCTTAATTTAACATCAATCGAACTCGACACTAAGTCCTTAGCTATTTATTACAAGCGCATGCCCGTCCAATAAATCCCACTGCTGTCCAATATAGAAACGGTTTACCGTGAATATTTTCCACTGAACCGCGCATTCAAGCGACACATACGTTAACAGACCGTCTCTTTCTCCAAGAACATGTGGCGCGGCACGTCAAACGACAAAGACGCTTAGGAAACGAAATTCGACGCCCTCGATAAAGACATCAACAAACATCCTCCAGTCACTAATTATCAGACTATTATCGTATAATCTTTAAAAACGAACGATAAAATGTAAAATTTAGTCGAAGGACATAAAGAATCTTTCAAAATTAAGCTTTTACAGTTAATTCAACATTAAGGAATGATACTTTCCCTGAATTTCATAATGCGAATAGCGCCTACCTCATTAATTTGGAGCAAGGGTATGAAAATATCATTTTCATATTCAAATGTGAAATATTCTTGGATATTTTCCTCGAAGACTGCTATATTTTCTTATTTTATATTATTTTTAACGTAGAATGTTGAGGTGATTGTGGAAAATCGTATATTAAAAAACATAGTAACGGTTCATGTTCAGTATATTTTTTATTTTGCTACACCCTAAAACAACTCAACAAAATCAAATGTTTCCCATTTTTTTTCACTTAATCGTACCGCAACAAAAAAGAATCATATATGAACAAAATTTAGCCATTCTAGCCTGTAGGACATTTAATTCTCTAAATATCGAAGCATCGGACATCATGATCGAACGTATTTTACCTGAGATATCGTTAATTTACGAGAATCGTACAAAATTTCATTTTTTGCCATTTTAACTGCATTGTTGAAACATTATTACAAAGAATTTTTATTCAGATGTCCTTAGCCGCATTTTCTTTTAAAAAAATTAATAAAAAACTAGATATAGTTAAAGAAAAGGTTTATATTGATAAACAAATAAATGTTAAAATCATATTGTTAATTAAAGGTATCATTAACTTTAAGATATGCTCCCGTTAAATTCGTACCACTTCGTGCTAAAACAAAAAAAAAATAGATATTCGTTTATAACATTACCAAGAATCTGTATTATTAAAAAAATTTTTTTGCTCAATTACAGCATAAATTTTACTTATAAATAATTATAATTTTAAATTGTCTTACAATGTCCTATTATAAAATATGCAAATATAGGATCACATTCGCTTGCTTTTTCCTTAACATCCTCAATTAAAGCACTACATTGACCAATACTATTTATATAAAAAGAAACATGCGTACCATTATTAGAATAGTTGCGATCATCTACAAAAAAAAATTTATTTACTTAAATTCGAAAATTAATAATAATTTATTACCAGATTTGTGGCAGTCAAACTTTGGTGGAATTATATATTTATGATCTACGTAACATCTTAAATTATCAGTTACAAAAATATTGGATTTTATTGAACTCACTTCCAAAGATAAACTTAAAAAAATTAAGAAACATATCTTAAAACCACCAAACATTTTCTTTAATGTGACTGATTCTGTCTGTGTACAAACGCGAAATGAAACTTTGACGTAAATATAAGTGTAGTTATAAATAACTATGAAGACACGCAATAGTACATTAACAATTACAATAAAATACAAGTAGTTAAAGAAAAGGTTTATATTAGTAAAGAAATAAACGTGAAAATAAAATCATTTTTCTAGTTAAAGGTATCATTAACTTTAAGATTTCCTCCCGTTAAATTAGTACCACTTCGTGCTAAAACCAAAAAAAAATCAAATTAAATTAATTAATTTATGAGAATTTAAATTAATAACGTTTATAACATAATTTTTAATTTTCTTACAAGGTCCTGTCACAAGATATGGATATACGGAAACACAATTGCTTGCTATTTTCTTAACATCCTCAATTAAGGCATTACATTGACCAATACCATATATAAAAAAGGAAACATGCGTACCATTACGAGAATGCTTATAGTGATCTACAAAAAAAGATTGTTTAATATTTAATTAAATTTTGATTATTAATAATAATTTATTACCACTACTGTAACAGTCAAACTTTGGGGGAATTATACATTTATGATCTACGTAGCATTGTAAATTATTAGTTACCCAAATACCCGATTCTATTGAATACACTTCCAAAGATAAACTTAAAAGAATTAAAAAACACACCTTAAAACCTCCAAACATTTTATTTCATGCGTCTGACTCTATGTGCTTATAAATGCGAAATAAAACTTCGACGTAAATCTAAGTGTAGTTATAAATAACTATGAAGACTTACGTAATCATTAACAATTACAAAGATGACTTTTTAATTTGCTATGTGAGAATAGAAACTGTTATATTGTATGCATAAGTCGCAATTACATTGTAATAATTAATACACTCGTTATTACCACCTAATTGTATTACCACAAAATCTATCTAGATATTTAGAACCTGGCAATAATGTACATCAAATTAATTAGAATTAAACCATTAAGGTACATCATCAAATTGTATAATGATATAATAATAGGATTAAACAATTCTGTGGTTTAGAAATTTGCTACTATCAATCAGTTCATTATTAACCAGAATGTTTGATCATTTGATAAATTCTATAAACTAGTTACTAGACAATAGATTTCCTGGGTTTAGCTATCCCAGGAACAATATCCGAGATCACATCAAAACCCAATCCCTACTTCAATTAGATCACTAACTGGGTCAGATACGTAGATGATGTATTTTACGTGTGAGATAGCTAAACACAACAAATTAAATGGAAAATTATCTTTAATCAATGAAAACGATAACATCTCTAAATATAATTAGTTCCAACGAATCTTATCACCCTAGCAGTCATAAAATGACAGCTTTAATTTGGTACCAATAGATTAACTAAAAACCCTTTCGATAATGTAGGAAAACAAAACTAGCTCCATTTCATTATAACAACATAATTTCTTTTTCTAAAACTAACGTTTTGATCTATAAGTACTTTAATTTTAATTATTGTACACTGAAATCACAGATTTAAAATTATTTTGTGTGTTGAAATTTGTAGATTTGAATGATGATGTTAATTTAATTGACGAAACCGGTATTTTCTAAGTTACAAAGTTTAAAGTACTCTTTGGAGATGATTTTGGAATCTGCATCAATGAGTGTGTCATATCAATGTGTTCCAATGGGATATTTTTTCTCAAAATATTTCTGCAAATAACATAAGCCCATTTAATGATGGAATTAAAATCATTTTAGATTTTCCTATATTAAAAACACTTAAACAATTGCAACGTGTTTTAGGTAATCATAAATTTATTGCTAAATTTTCAAATTATCTACGTCTTTATATACGCAAATCTATCTATACATATACTTACAATTTTTTTATAGACGCTGTGTTAGAAAACATTGTAGATTTTAAATTTAGCAACGGAATATTTTAAACAAATAATCAAATCAAGCTTCTATTTATTTTAGAACAAAAAAAAATGTCATCATCTAACCAAAAACTTTGATGTGATATTTTGCTATATCATATCACGATTTACAAAAATTCTTCAAGGTGCCAGTAAGCTTGCTGAAACTCCTGGATTTATCAAAGGTGTTCAAATCAAGTAATGAGTACTTTCACTCATTGTTTGATTAGACGGCAATGGCAAGGATAGGAAATTCAAATTTGAAAAAAATTCTCAATACTTATTTAGGATATGTTCTCTATTCCACCCTATTCCATTAACAATAAAAACGTCTTAATTGTTACTAGAATCTTTCTTTCGAGTTCAGTTTATATCTTACAACAGTAAATCTTTAAATCCACTTGTTTTAAGTTTACCGAAGATTCAAAGGAGAGTTACTATTTTCTTCGATACACCACACCGAGTCAAATATCTTATATTTTTATAATGAAGCAAAAGGTGATGTGGATGCTATTATTCAAAGTTGTTCTTGCTATAAGGCTGGATGAAAAAAGAATTACACAACCTTGGCCATAAGCAATATACTGTCATATAATCGGTAACATAATTCATAATGATATTCTTGTTGCAAATAATTGAGAAGATACCTTTACTACTGGAAGTAGTAAAGAGTATTACCGGAACTGCAATTTTATTCGCAATTCATGTTTCACTAGAAGATGCACATGCCGTTAGTGATAAGCTTTGTTCTATACCAGTATACTACCAATGAGGCATAAAACTTTGACGTTTCAGTTAAAGATTCAAAGATTTCAAAGATACAGTTACATTTTTGTGTTCTTGGAAGTGATTGATAATCCCAAAGAGTCATCACAGTTCCTACAAATTACTCCTAAATCATCGGCAACTTATAATAATTTCATAATTATAAGCAACCATTTAATTGTTATTGGTGGAAGCTAATTATTAGTTTATGTTATTATTGTAAAAGTCATAGACAAATGAGTACAAACAATTGAATTTTCCGACAATCAATAGAATGTTTCATAATATAATCGACAAGCATTAAATAACAATACCGCATTGTATCCCCTTTTGTATGGCTATAATGATGTTCTAATAACGTTTTGCTCCACTCAAATAAAAAAATAAATAGGTTTAAAACAAAAATTTTGGACAAAAATTAACTAAAATTAAAAAACTTCAATATTTTAATTATTTTGTTTTTATTTATAAAGTGAAGTAACGAAAAAAAGTATAGCTTGTGTCTTATGTGAAACATGTGGTTACTTGTTTATAGTGACAATAGGAAACGATAACTGACGGTGCGATGAAGACATCACAAAATCCCGAGACTAATTGCCAGACGAAGAGAAGCAACACAAAAAGCGTATCGTTTTCTCCGGAAATTTCTCGCGGTCGATGCGACTGTTGGTTTAAATTACCGTGGCACACGTGGTAATGGTTAAGGAAGGTTCTAAGTTAAATCGAGGATGAGCATAAAGAATTAAGACGACGACACTTCTTAGAAACTTACAACGTTTTATTTCTATATTTTTGTTATGATGATAAATATAACTGACTTAACAAAAACATTAATATTTTACTTATTTCTTTTAATATTTATTTCTAAGTATCATTTTCGCTCCGTTGTAAACTCTTGGTTATATTACAACCTCCGGTCCGTGGGGATTCATATTACACCTGATAAAAACTGCCATATTGTGAACGCCCGCGTATTTCATTACACGTTTCCTTTTCGCTTTTCAAACCGCGTCCGTTCATTTTTATCTTGATCTAGGCCACTGACTTATTGCGGCTGCCACATATGTAGGTATAATATTCATATAACGCATTGAAAGTAACGTGAAGCTACTTGCTGTGAAGCATTTTTCATCTCGTTTCATCGCCTCCATACAACAAAACTGGTAACGAAGCATTTCTTTACCCCTCTCATTCGCTCAACAGACTTTCCATTCATTTTGATTTAAACGAACTCACTGAAAAGTCAAATTGATTTAAATAAATATGTCGTTGCGAGTGGGTTGCATCCCTATCCTCACGCATTCATTGCAAATAATGGCTTCATTAGATCAAGGCTAGGGTTACAATAACTTAATTTGAAGACGGTTCGTTGCGTAAATTGATCGATTTCATTATATAATTAAGTTATGCTGTATTGTTATGCAGAATGGGTTAACATTCGAGGGCAACAGAACTGTAAGCGTTGCGGAACCGTATACTTAGTCTGGGAGTTGTATCTTGATTTGGTTGATTGACCACTTCGTCCGTACCGGCGTAGGTATAAAATTATACTCTCTTGTGGGTGCTGGTTGAATAAATTATCTCGGCGGCATAGTCACGAAGTAATCACATCACGACAATTCCCAGTCATTCGCAGATATTGGGTTGTAAAACGAACGAGGTAGTAGCTATTTATGTTTGCCAGAATTCACGATCCGAGGCGAGATTTAAAGGTTAACTCTAATTGTCAGTTGTTATAAATCGTTTTGCTGTGATGAATTTAAAATAACGAATTAAAACAAAAAAGTTTAACGCCTTGCTAAAAGCTATTTTTAGTGGAGGATAAAACCTAACCGTTCAATTTGGACGCTTAATGTAAAACGAATTAGCCGGCAAAAAATATATTGCACGAATATTTAATTCCCGGGCGTACAAGGCTTAAAAGCAATCCATTTGCAACGATAAAATCAATATTTATAACAAACGGGTCGTAATTGATATTTTTTATCTACAATATTTTTCGGGGGAGTTAGAATTCATACATTTATAGTTATAAATATAGAGTTGCAATTTAATATTGATTACAACTAACAGCAATTATATCAGCTTGCATATTTAAAATATCCAATTTTTCTCAAAATCTATAATGATTTATTTTTATTACTCACAGATTTATTATTTTACATTAGCGAATGAAAGTGATAATCTTAAGTCAATGACTTATAAATAAAATATTTACCAATAACTATCACATTCAAAACTGATATGACTCATGTTTATTCTTAGATAACAATACACAAAAGTAGTTGTAGTTCTTAATCTATTAAATATTGTCCTAGATAACATACAAATCGATATTCTACGCTTTTGTTGTATGTTTCCCGTCTAGAGTAGATAACCTTCGAACGGCAAACAATGTCACATTGAGTGTGTTCGTTCGGTTTATCTTCGGTATACAATGCATGCTTTTCCCATAGGGCAGAAAACATTTACTGTGTAAAAACGTTCGCGTACGTAGATTTTTCTCTTGGAACAAAAGCAAAACCGGACAGTCCGAATTTACTAATTAGAATCGTAAACAACGGGTGCAAAAACAACCGGAACGGGCCTGGGTCGTATTTTGTTTAAATTTCATCCAGACCGTCTCCTAAAATTAATTTAACTATACGTTTCTGGCGACGGCAACACGTCCTGCATCCTGTGCTTGTATTTCAAAAGTTTCCGACATACGTGTGTAAATCCATTTTATAATGGGAGGGACACTCGGCGTCGCGCCGACGCGTTATTAAAAAGTTATTTAATTACGAGGCGCATTGTGAAACGGGGGGAGACTTTAACTTTAATAACTAGCGGCGTAATAATGTAAGTGGGTGCTTCTTCCTGCCGCCTGCAAGTTTTTCAGTACCTCCACTACTGTTGTAGTTAATACGGATATTAAATTTTCCAAGACGTATTGTAACTCTACGGCATGCTTACAAATGCAATAAACTCGTTTCAATTACATTTATAATACTAAAATTTTTATTTACAACTCAACTTTATTTTAATGTCTTTAAAGAAATTAT